AAAGTAAAATCTTCAACGAGTGGTCATTTTATTGATGTACACACATCTTGTCATAAAGCAACGTTTTGGGGCCACTTTATGACAAGATGTGTGTACAATAAAATGACCACTCGTTGAAGATTTTACTTTGGTGTGCTGGTGATATACTTTACTTTTTGGATTTGAAGTGGCGCCATCCACTATAACTGCAGCACCCACTTTAAAAAAGGGGCATGCCAGTAAGGAGTGTGGTGGAAACCTATTTGGAACATCAGGTAAATGTCTAAGAAGGGATATATATAGAAAAGGCTAATTGACTTGTAAAATACATACAATGTAGTTAGGGCCCATTCACACCATGCCTGGATCATCTCCAGACCAGACCGTTTCCAGGCCCAAAATGCATCTTAATGTATCAGTATGCTATTTCTGGCCTCTGTTCACACCAGCGCAGTCCATTCCGTTCCAGACCAGAAAAATACTGTTAGTCTTATTTTGTCTGGTCTGGAATGCACTGAAACACAAAGCCGCATACAAACGCACTTGTAAGGCCATTTTAAGCTAACAAATTCCAAGTGTGGCAAAAACGCAATGCACTGCGTTCCAGATCTGGTCCGGAAAGTGGTGTGAACCTACCCTTAAAGAGGAACTTTACCCCCTGGGTGTTCATTTGCTATTAACCACCTCTTAACTTAGTGCTTTCAGATAGTATACTCACCCGCCCAGCTAATCTAGCGTTGTCCTGCAGTGATCCACCAATCCCACGCCGCATGCCAGGACCAGCACAGCCATCTTAAAAAAAGACCCGGCTCATGCACAAACCTGGGACATCTCAGCGCCTGAGCTGGATCTCTTGAACATGCGCAGACTGCTGCGGTTCTTTGTCACGTCTATGGAAGAGACCAACAGTGCATGGGCTGATTCAGTGGATGCAAAGACATGCTGCAGTTGTTTTTTAGGTGTATGGGACCTGGTAAAGACTTATACTGATCTCCACACATGTATGAAACGTAGCAGAGACTCCTGCCAGTCTGTAGATGTGTATGAAGCATGGGACGTGGCAGAGACCCGTGTCAGCCTGCACAAGTCATCTTCAACTAGGTAAGGATTAAAGGGGAAAAAATGGGTGAAGGTCTGCTTAAAAATTAATAACTTATATTTTAACAATCATAAAAATGTTAACAGTCACAACAAGGCTCACAATTAGTAAAACAACTTAAAACAGGACACCACCTTGCTTTTATTCCCCATGTTGCCTAATATTCTAAATGATGGTACAAAACATTCTACAAGTGGATTGTTTACAACATGGGTGGGCAAACTCGGGCCCTCCAGCTGTTGTGGAACAACAAATTCCATAAGGGATTGCAAGATTCTCACAGCCACAGGTATGACTCCGAGACAGATGCATGATGGGATTTGTAGTTTCACCACAGCTGGAGGGCCAGACTTTGCCCACCTCTGATCTACAATATAATTGCAACACTGATGGAGGATGAAGCGTGCAACTGACTCGTTTCATTGAAATATTTCTAACTTCTCAAGGTGTTAATGGTGGGTGAGCGATCTAAAGTACATAAAAAAACATGAGTGGATTACCTGATAACTCTGTTTCCAGGAATCTTCCAGGACAGCCATCGAGATATAGGCTCCGCCTGCCTGCAACAGGAAACACATCAACCACATTACATAAATGGACTCCTCCTTCCATCCCAAGTCAGTAACCTCTAGGACCGAAGGCTACCCCATGCACAAAAGTATCCCCTCCTTCATCCAACCTTGGATGCCACCTGGATACACACCAAGGGCGGTAACTGGCTGTCCTGGAAGATTCCTGGAAACAGAGTTATCAGGTAATCAACTCATGTTTTCCCCAGTCATCTTCCAGGACAGCCATCGAGAGGATCAGTGAGGACAAATCTTACCTCCTAGGGTGGGACCACAGCTTGCAGGACTTTCCTGCCAAATGCCTGGTCTTGTTGAGTCATAAGGTCCAGCCTGTAGTGACTGACAAATGTCTGGAAGCTGGACCAC